CCTACCTACCTACCTACCTACCTATCTACACCCTCTCTCTCCCTATCTACCTACTGTATTTTTCTCTCTATCTCTCTCTATTTTTCTCTCTCTCTATCCCTTTATCTACAGTACCTACCTAACTACTCTCTCTCTCTCTCCCTATCTACCTACTGTATTTTTCTCTCTATCTCTCTCTATTTTTCTCTCTCTCTATCCCTTTATCTACAGTACCTACCTAACTACTCTCTCTCTCTCTCCCTATCTACCTACTGTATTTCTCTCTCTTTCTCTCCCTCTCTATCCCACTATCTACCTACCTACTTTTTTAAAAAAATTGCCTCTTCAAAACCTTGATACATCTTATACTCTGAAAAATACAGTAAATTATGATTAAAGGAAATGTTTTGATAGTGTAGTGAGGGTAAAATATGAAATTGTCACATTTTAAAATTCATGCTAAAATTCTACCCTGCCTTTTGTTTGTTATTATTTTCTGGACAACAATTATAAATTGTAAATTTCTCTTTAAATTATCTGAGGTCACTAAGAATAAGAGAAAAGAATGCTGCTTTGGATTTTCTCTTCCCCCAATAATAATTTTACATAATGCCTCATTAAATATAACAATTCCTGGCTGAACTTTTAAAAATACAATTCATAATATAGTGTGGTGTGCATAATTATTATGGTTCCTGGGCTGTCCTATCAGCCAGGTACATGCCTTCGAGCCTATGAATTTCAAAACAAGGTGAGCTATTTTGCATTTATTGTTTTAGTTTCAGGGTTGGGATTCAAAAATTGCACCAAATCCCACGGCCACCCTGCCCATTGCTGGATGGGCATGGCCATGATCAGCATGCCCTAGTCTGCCTCCTGCATCATGGCAGGGGGGGGGGGCGTTCTTCCTTCCCAGGCTCCAGAGTCTTTCCTCGAGTCTCTGGGAGGGGGAAAACTGCTTCCCCTGGGCTCCGGAAGCCCCCCAGAAGCCGAAAACAAGCCAGTTTCCAGACTTCTGGAACTTCCGGTAAGCCCATTTTCCCTCCTCCTCGAGCCTCCGCGTGGGCCCTGCACTTGGCATGATAAATGGGCCACGTGGAAACTCCTCGGTGGGGTGGGGTGGGAGGGGAGGTGCAGGGCAGCGTGGCCAGCAAGTGGCGGCATTTTGGGGTTCGTTGAACTGGATAGAATCCTAGCTAGAGGATTGTATGAACCTGTGCGAACCCGCAGCAGCCCACCCCTGCTTAGTTTGGTATTTTCCTGAATTTCCTGAATGAAGTTACAATGCTGTTTATTCATAAAGTTCCAAAGAGTTGGTAAAAACCTGGGGTTATTGTGTTGGAGAAGGAGAGGCTGGAATGCTTTATTTAAATGGCTGATGTCTTATTTCATTCTCTTTGTGTTTTTAATTGTTTACATTTGTATTATATTTTATAAACCATCCAGAGTCCACTATATTAAATAACAGTAATATCATAATTGTACTTTGCGATTTATTGAGTAAGCCAAACAAACACTGATAGGCTTTGGATAGCGAGATGGGCAGCATATAGATAAATAAATGCATTTGCCTCATTACAGTATTCCTTTTCTAGTTTCACTTTTGGAAAAATTTAGGAAAGTGAGAAATTAATTACATTTTGTTCTTTGGTATGTAGAAAGATGAATATTGGGTTTTTCCCCCCTAAATTGCTTTATAGATTTTTCAAGACTTATAGGTGTCCATGGGTATCTGGACAATGTAGTTGCAACGAGGTGATTTCAGTCCTGCTCCTTTTTCATATGTGCATTAAGTACATTATGAATTTAAAAAGATGGGGCGTCATTCACCAATCTCCCACCTATTTTGACATAATTAACTGCCCACAGATAACCTATTTACAGTCAGTTTTGTAATATAAGTTAAAGTTTCTTCCTTGAAGAATTGTGCTGTTGGTATTATTGGTGTTGCAATATCTGATTGGTGTTGCAATATCGGTTCGCCCGAACCGATAGTAAAAATACTACCCATTCTCCTGAACCGGTAGTAAAAAAAAATGCTACTGATTCAGGTGAGCCGGTTTTTCCGACGATCAGCTGTGATGCGCAATTTATAATCTTAATTGCGTTACACCGCAGATTCCCTGCCCCACTGTTTGCTTACCTTTGCAAACGCGCTCTGTGCATGCGTGGAAGGTCCAGGTGCATGCTCACATTGCTACCAAACTGGTAACAAAGGTAAGTGGATTTCACTCCTAGTTGGAAGGAATCTTGGAGGTGTTGCAATAGCTGATTCATTTTAAAAGAATAACAGAGGTGGAAGGGACCTTGGAGGTCTTCTAATACAACCTCCTGCTCAATCACAACACCCTATGCCATTTCATACAAGTGGCTGTCCCAGTCTCTTCTTAAAACTGTTCAGGGTTAGAGCACCCACAACTTCTGGAGACAAGTCACCTCACTGTTTAATTGTTCTAATTTTGACTTCATTTGCAGCCACTAAAGCCCATGGAACATAATGGACCTGGTCTGGAATACAAAGTGAACTGGAAACAGCAGGATACCAATGAATGGGAAGAAGAAACAGTGCAAAAACATTTTCTAGTATTGCAGAACACCCCTACTTTTGTGCCTTATGATATCAAAGTCCAGGCAGTGAACAAGTATGGATCTGGCCCTGAACCTAATATACTAACTGGATATTCAAGTGAGGACAGTAAGTAATGGGAGGTGGGGAGATATACAAACAATCTCATCTACTGTATATGGTTTTTCAAACTCAAGGGTGCTGAAAAGTGATCTGACTGGTGGATATTGGATTATAGATACATATTCTGCTACAGTACATTTTCACGGATCAGAGCTCTGATAATATTAGTAACCTTGGGGAGTTGTTTAAAATCCTGTATTTTTCTGGGTTTATCATCAGAACTGCCAGACATTGATCTTTGGAACATAAAGCATAACAAGAGACCTTATAAGGCAGGAATTAGGCCCATCTAATAGAGTATTCTGGATCTGTCTATGGAAATTCTCAGTCATACAGGTCTTGGTTGTCCCAAAGGTCCTTTTTCAAAAGGCAACTGGACTTTCTGGTTCTTCTTGGAAGGCGTTGTGGTTCTCATCTTGGATTTCATCTTCTCATCCAAGATGTGAAACAAAACATCTTTAAAGATAAACAAGGAAGTCCAGTTGCCTCTTGAAAAAACACTTTTGGAAGCATTCTGGTCATACAATGGTCAACTAGATGTATTTGAGAGCTCACAAAGCTAGACTGGAAGCTGAAATCTCTTCTACTACTGTTATCAGCAACCACTTAACACACATTGCCCAAGGCTCAATAGGTAGTGAATTGCCCTCAGTATCAGTATATCCTTATTAACTATAAACTTGTCTAGCCTGTTGTAAAACTGTCAATTGACATTATTGGCAGGCAAAAATGTTCACAATTTTATTCTCCTTTCATTGCACTTACACCAATGTACATAATCACCTATACCCCTGCAAGAGCTGGATGAAATGGCAAAGAACCTGAAGGTATATATCTGGTGGATTACAACCAGTACACCTCGGTACGGACATACCAGTGCCTGCCGGGATCACCGGGTAACATTCTGTACAGTGATCCGGAAGGCCCACCAGCCCCACTCCTTACTGGTATTTGAGCTCTTTGGAGTTTCCGTGCATGCACATGGAGCATACGGCGCCTGTGCAATGCTCTGCCAAGCAGCTAGAGCGTCACGGAGCATTTCAGGAGGTAAGGATGCATGTGTGTGCTGTGCGCATGTGCACATGCACTGTGCGCATTCATGTGGAGGACGCCGGGCCCAATTTCACCATATCAGTTGCAATGAAATCCGGAACCCACCACTGATATATGTAAGATATCTCATACAATGTCATAGACTGACTCAGAGAAATAACATTAGATATTGTAACATAGTTTACCTACCAAGGATTTTCCAGATATAAAAAATGCCTGCCTTCTTCTCTTTCCATCATAAGAAATAAAGGAAGATGGCTGTAAGGAAATTAAATTAATATGCAACCAAAAACTTGAAAGATGTTTGTACAGCATTTTCATTTATTTGCATTTCTTTATTTGTATTAATTTTTAGAAATAATTCAAGGCAACAAACATATCCAACACACCTTCGTCCTCCTATTTTCCCCACAACAACAACAACTCTGTGAGATGGGCTAGGCTGAGAGAGAATGACTAGCCCAAATTCACCCAGCTGGCTTTCGTGGCTAAGGTGGGACTTGAACTCACAGACTCCCACTTTCTAGCTTAATGCGGTCTTACAAAAGGGTGAACATATTAAAACACAATATTAATGACCTTGCTATTTTCAAAAGTATGGGCAATAGTGAGAAACAAGAAATATACAGGATCCTGAGAATGACTGTACCCACTTAGAAAATACATACATCTGATTAGCAACTGGCAAAGAAAGGGACTGGAAGAGACAAGAATTGGCTGACTTGAATTCCAGACCTGGATTTCTTGTTGCAGTCCTATTTGTAGTTCATAAAGCCCAATTCTGTTTGAATTTGTTCCAAGCTATGTCCCACTAACTTCAATTCGAGTAAATCCCAGCTTAATGCGCCTAGCTCAAATAGATGCCCATAGATTAAGGCTTAGGTGAGATGCTATCAGATATATCACACTACTATTACTGACATATGATTATATGTGTGGCTTTTCATTATACTGCCTCATCATTTTAAATCCAGGTTATCAAATGGCTGTCACGGGCCTAAATCTAAACTCAGAGGAGTCCCTGCTCCATTTATTAATGTGCTAATGAAGTGTGAGGAAGATGCCATATCTGTCATCTCAGAATTGCCTGGAGTACTGTTTTAAATTCTAGTTCATTAACTCTCATTCACTTCCAAAAGAGATCCTCTGAGATTGAGGATGGTTGAATGTTACACTAAACTTACAGTTCATATAAGCACAAAGTAAAAACCTACTACTGTCTGCTGAATATAGGATGTCGTATAAATGTTTTCTTCCTCTGTGTTCAGTTCCCGAAGCAGCTCCTTCAAACGTAATTGTGCAAGTCCTCAATAGCAGTCTGGCGAAAGTCATCTGGTCCACAATTCCAAAAGATCGGGTTCGTGGACATCTTAGAGGATATAAGGTAGATGTTGTTCCCCCTGCTTTCACACAGTTGACCTTGACCCTTGAATTACTAATACACTTTCGTAGAAGGCTGGTGTTTGAACATCAGTTTAAGCAGATCAGCAAAAGAACTAGAAGACACCTTTCTACAAAATGCAAGCCTGTTTATATAATATTAAACTTTGGCTAGGTTATGTATGGGTGTGGTTCGGGGGTGAAATCTTCCCGGTTCAGCTCAGTTCAGCCAAACTGGTAGGAACGATTTTCCTTGGTTCTGTGAACCAGTAGTGAATTTAAAAAGCTTTGGAGGATCGCGGAACTCACCTGTGTGCTACACGATCATCGGAAGCTATTTTTTAGCTTTCGGAAGCTTTTTAAAGCATCCCCCCCGCCGCGCTGGTTCAGGTGAACCAGCAGGGAAAAAGCTGAAAGTGAAAAAAAAGTTGGCCACCCAATCACATGACACCCCCCAAGCCATGCCTACAGAACTGGTGGGGGGTTGAATTAGATTTCACATCTGGTGTGGTCGTGTGTGTGTGTGTGTGTGTGTGTGTGTGTGTGTCTATGTGCATGTGTGTTGATGATTTAGTGATGTGAATGCTGTCCAAGAGTCAGATCTGGTCTCTGTTTCAAAACAGCAAATATCCCTTCTGCAGGTCAACTGGTGGAAAATCCGAAACCGTCTGGATGAAAAAAATCATCACCCAGAGAAACACTCCTTGACATTTAAAGCAGACCGAAATGATGGAATGGTCCCTGGTTTAGAGCCTTTTAGCATCTACCATTTAACTGTCTTGGCTTTTAATTCCAAAGGAAATGGACCTGAAAGCATTGCATATGAATTCCAAACTCCAGAGGGAGGTAAAGTTGGAGAATGGGAGTGGGGAAGAGAATAGAAAGGAAATAATAGCTAACCTTTGTAACTGTACTTTCCCCTTTGCAGCTGTCTTGGTTGTCTGTCATTGTTACCTTATCTGGGCATTTTCACAGCTGGAAATATAAAATTAATATCTGATTATTAAAAGGGAATTTTTATAGTTGGTCACTGCAGCTATATTCATTATACATACTAGGGTTGTTATTATTGTGTTTGACAAAAGTGTAGTGTTTTTTATTCTTTCTTGGAATTTTCTAAGAACCCAATGGGTTCATATCAATTAGAAATTAGATGAGATCTCCAATGAGTTACAAAAACTGTTGCTGGAGTCAAATATTCACTGTTAGAAGCAGGGAAGTACTATTGAAAGCATATACCCTACTTTCCTGCAGTTTACTTAATATCTTTAATTCAACACATTCCTTCTCAACTGCCCAAAAAGCCCATGCTGACTAATGGCAGGATTTAGAAAAAATGACTATGTTCATTTCAAATGGGAGAATTGGGGAAAGAGAAAATTACCAATCTCGCACGTTTTCTTCATTTCTTAGATTTCCCCAACCTACAGGCATTCTATAAAAATGGCAAATGAAATCCTCTGATAAAATAGTATTTATCTTTCCAAAGCTGAATACTTAGCTACTGTAACTGTCAAACAAGTAGGCAGACTATTCAAAATGTTCCAAGATAGTCCAATTGAGGTTTTTTTTTTTTTTTTTTTTTTGGGGGGGGGAGGCATGTTCATTTTAGGGAATTAGTTTACATAACTTAACCAATAAGGTATATGTTGAAAGGTTGTCTGTACTTTTGGTAATATGTAGAGATGAAATGAGTGACTAATATTGACTTGCTTTGTTTTTATATTATCTTATTTTATTCCGTATCTACATTTCCTATATTGCCCAACCATATAACCTTTATAAGAACAAATAAATAAAAGTATATTCATGATCATTTTTTTTTACATATGTATTTTACAGTCCCAGAAAAACCACACTTTCTAAAATTACTAAATTTTGAAAAAGACTCTGTAACACTGTCATGGGGGCCACCGAAGAAACCTAATGGATTCATTACTGGATACACATTACAGTACCAAATGAGTAAGTATATAAATATTCTACTTTGGGTTAGGATTCCAAAAAAAAGCCAGGAGTGGGATTTGAGGGTTCTCCAAACTGCACAGAATTTTAGCTAGTGGTTATTATAACCCCATACCATCTTTATAGGGTTAACTTTATTAGTTACAAAGAATTTATTTATTTTTCTTCTAAATCCACAGTTTGATGATTGAAGATGCAAGCAGATAGTTAACAGTGTAATTTGAGGGAAGAAGGATAGAATATAGTGTTAAGTGTATTAAGTATGCTTAGAATAAACCATATTCTAAAGCCTGTATTGTGGCAACCTTCCAAGAGTTCCCAAAGTTTTGTGATCTCACTCTTAATGATAGAACATTGACTGACAGATCAAATTAATCTGATTTTTTAAAAATAGAATATAGTTGCACCTCCATGACTGGAAAAAATGCATAGATATGCCAATCAGGCATAACACATATTTGATATGTTTTCCTTTTGTATTTGCTGGGGGAAATTTATTGGATATAAATTAAAATATAAACAAATTGTAAGGAACCAAGTAGCTCATGGCCTTGAATTCTGATTGGATTATTTGGGGCAGATATTCCACATTCAATATGCAAGTTGGTAGAATTATTTGCTACGAGATGATCAGCAAATAAATTCAATAAATAAATGTTCCCAGAACTATATCATATCATGATTTTATTTACAGCAAAAGTTTTTTCATAGTAATTAACTGCATAACAAAATGTGTCCCTGTGTGTACATGTATACACACACACACACACACACACACACACACACCAGTTAAAGTGTTCTATGTTGTACATTGGTGAAATATAAAGTTGGCATACGAGATACATTTTTAAAAATAAACTGATTTCTAATGTTGATGTATGTCTGCTCCTTCTTTTGTTTTCCAGTTAATGAGACTGATAACATTGGGCCTTTGCATGAAATCAGTATTACCAATTCATCATCGTTAAGTTTCAGATTGTCTAATCTAAGCCTCAGCACAAAGTATAAATTCTATGCAAGGGCCTGTACAGTGCAAGGATGTGGAAAACCTATTACAGAGGAAGGAGTAACAGTAAACCATGGCAGTAAGTTAAAATCAGGGTTGAATGCCTGCAAATCTAATCTTAATCGTAACATCTGGGTATTGGACCTAAGAAAACTTAATCAGAAGGAAAGAGAAGAGTGCTTATCATTAAAAGGCTGATACTTAAGGCTTCAGAAGGTTTCATATCATGATCTACTAAAAAATATTCCTCACCAACAATTTTGTCTTTTTCTTTTCTCTGAATATACTGTACATTTGCAAAATAGCTACCTAAGATAATGCTATGAAGACATGGATTTATTTTGACTTGCAAGCTTGTTAACATAAGTAGCTCAATACCATGAATATTAGGCTGTGCAGTGCAGTGTTTCATGTCAACAACAAAATGACAAATGAAACGCTCCTCAAAGGTCCTACATAGAGTAATGACCTTGTCTCTTACATAAGATCCAAGAGAAGCATCCTGTTGTTTCACTATATATGTGGCATCATATTACTAAAGTCCAGGAAGTGCCTATATTGCTTCACTGCTTTCTCTTTCAGAGCTATTCTCATTTTTCCTCCACCTGTTAAAGGAGAAGGCTGAGAACAGTTTCTTCAGCAAATCTGAAAGAGCTTTCTCCTGAAGAGTTAGTCACAGGGCTTCCAAGGTTGAAAAGTTCTGTTCAGACTCGAATTTTCTGGCAACTGCAGAAAATTGCATAGCAAAAATTTTCCAGAATGGGTGGCTCCAGAGCAAACTGCAGGAAGTCCCATGGTACATGCTGAAGGTGGCCCAGTCAAAATTTTCACAGCACTCATATAGCAATCTTTCAGTTGATCACTTCTGTGATGGGTTACAAGGCATCCTCCACAGACCATTTACCCACTTGAGAATAGATAATGGTGCAGAGAAGCTCTTTTGGTGGAACTCAGTTGTCATAAATGTTTGAGACAAGAAAGTCCAGTTGCCTCTTGAAAAAGCACCTTTGGGACAACAATGACCTGGATGACTGAGAATCCCTACAGACTTTCAGCAGCATGACAGAATACATGTTTTCATGACACTTTCTTTCTTCCAACCATAGATAGCAGAAAAGAAAATCAAGTAGTGTGGAAAAGCTCCTTTGATTCAGGAGGTTTGATCCAGAAAATTAGATTAGGTCATCTCCACAATTCAGATCCCTTCTTTAAACAAACCTGTGTAATTTTATGCCATTTTACTGAGCCAAAGAATCTTGGTTACAAAAGCGGAAAAGATATCACATAGGTATGTTGCTAAAATAATCAAAATATAATTATATTTAATTTGACAATGTTTGCTGCAATCACTTTTAATATACAATGGACAAATCTGAAGCCAATATTTAATTGCAACTCTTTAAACTGTACCATTCAGCAGGTTCACGAGATGAACCATTTAATTTCCAATTAAAGCCCCATTAGCACAGTTATATCCATCATTCAGTTGAAATATGATCAGATGGGTGACTTACAACTCTGTCTCTGTAGCTGTAGAACCAACTAGATATTAATTGGTAAAATTAAGTGAGATTGGCACACCAATTTGCCAGATGGAATGAGCTAAGTAGAAAATGCCCAAGTTCATCAGTGTTAATAACATACAATAACAGTGTTGACAGGGAACAGTCAAATATTTTTCTTGCACTTAATAGCTTATCTTATTAGAATAGGAGTGCACTCCATTTAAATCAGGAACTGGGACTGTGGAAGACTCACCAACATTGCTTTTAAGAAGAGGGAATGTCTTTGAAGTTCTGTTGAAAAACACAATAGTTATTTTTTCTATGGAAGATACAGTTGAAACTTTCAAGCAGAACCAGAATATCAATATTAGCATATCATAACAATGGTTGTTTTTTTGGTTTGACTGGATTGACTGGAACGTATTTTGCTTGTTCTATAGCCCAGACAAGCATATGATATTGTGGACTGGGTAGATTAATTTGTAGTATAATAATCCAATAGTGTGGCACTAGTGTAATGCAGCCACTGATAAGGCACTTTAAGATGTTTAACAGGAACACAGTAATGCTCCTGTTAAATTTCACAGTAATTGTCCCACTTTACTTTGACTTGGTCAGGCCCTATTCGAAATACTGTGTCCAATTCTTGACACCACAGCTTTAATAGGCTATTGGAAATATTTAAACTTACTGAATTTATTTAGCTTTCAAAAAAGAAGTTTAAGAGGAGGTACAATCTCTATCTTCAATTGAACTAGGAAGTTTGTAAGCTCTTTTATAGATGTTACTTTTGTTTTGAGAGTTACCGTTTAACTGATGTGTATATGTTATAATAGTTTTAATTTCTGTATATCACCCAGAGTCACTGCTGTGAAATAGGAATCTTCATATATTGGATGGGTAGTAGATAGATAATAAATTTCCATTTGTTGTATTAAGTTATTGTGCGATTATCTCCAAAGTATCATTCCTTTTTGTAAGGCTCCAAACTCAAGAGAAATCTGGACTTACAGTTTAGCATTTAATGTTAAATTTAGATTTAGATTTTTTTAGATTTTATTGAACATTTATAGGCCGCCCTTTTCCCTGAGGGGACTCAGGGCGGCTTACAACAATGGGGGAAGGGAGTGCAAAACAAGACGTAAAAGAAAAACGTGAATAAAAAAAATTAACTATAAAACACAACATTCACTCAACATTCGGGCGGGGTGAGAGTAAATCCTATCCCCAGGCCTGACGGGATAGCCAGATCTTGAGGGCTGTGCGGAAGGCCTGGACTGTGGTGAGGGTACGGATCTCCACGGGGAGGTTGTTCCATAGAGACGGAGCTGCAACCGAGAAGGCTCTCCTCCGCGTAGTCGCCAGTCGGCACTGACTGGCGGATGGAATTCGGAGGAGGCCTTCCCTGTGCGATCTGATGGGATCTAATACGTTGGCTCTTCTAGAATGGGGAGACAACACAGATAAGAGAGGGATGAGAAGCTGGCTTTCAGCTTTAAAAGCTTTATTTTACACAAATGTGTAAATTCTGCCCAGCAGTTTTGGACCAAGAGAAGTATTGGAATTTGAAACCATGTTTTGTGGGTGTGGCTAGTAGCAACTCTGTTAATAGGATGCAAATTAGTAAGGTGGTCACTACTGATCTCTCTAGCCTTCAAGATGAGAAAGATGCTTTCTACCATCTCATTTAAAAAAAAAATAGTCAACCTGCTCAGAGAAAAACAA